CTTATAATGAAGTTAAAGAAGTTCCAATAGAGGTAGACATGGCCCAAGGGGATGAGAAGTGATGTTTAACGCTTGCATTGTTGAGGCTGGCTGGGACAGGAGATAGTCCCTGACAAGAAGCAGCAGTGGCTCCAAGAACCAGCCAAGACCGACCTTGTGATTTGGTCAAATGCCAAGGGACAACTGAGTCTGCGCAGGGACAGAAGGTTAAGAGTTCACCGTGAAGAAGACATACAGCCTTCATCTTCACGACCACCAGACGACCACCATAAGGAGGCACTGCGCAAGCGCAGTTGAGAGGAGACTATGGAAATGACTTCCTAGAGCTAATTTTAATATGAAGCCGGGATAGATAATGCCTATGTATAGGTGTATTGCGAAACTCTATGTATATGTAACACTTGACTGTATAAATTTAAAGTGAACTGCCAAATCAGGCGCACGACTTTGGTGGGACTACCCCCCGTGCTGCCCAGCGCTGAATGAACATACCTACTTTACAATCTCACTGATTGTGGAGTCTGTTTTCCGCACGGCAGTTTGGCAAGCCAGGCAGGAGACTCTCTGCTCGGCTGCGGGACCGACTGCGGAGCGGACGCCCCTCGGCGCGCCCCGAGCACTTTCCTCGGAGGAGCCTCCGCTGCCAGCTGCTCACTGCGGGAGCAGACAACAACCTCCTGAAGCCGCGGACCAAACGGTATGTTTTACAAGGGGAGCCTGTAAAAGTACGGGCCGGGGCAGCTGGTAAATAGCACAGAGACGTCTGGCGTGCAGCGTAGTCCCCGTATGGGAGGAGGGTACCCTGTATGGTAACAAGGGGGGGATTTGCTGACCGATAGAGCGGCCGCTAGCGATCTTGGGGGTAGATCGAGCAAATCCGGGGTGATCGCTGCATCCCAGTATTGGGAGCCAGGACGGACCTGTCGATGACTGGTATATAAGAGGTAGGAGAAGGGTAAGCGCACCCCCTCGCAATTGCGCTTGGTACATTTCTGCAGCTGCTGAAAGGTTGTCAACTGGAGCGATGATTGTATGATGTGAATGTTTGGAAATTTAATGTTAAAGATTTCATGTGAGTATGTGGAAATGGTATGTTGAAATTTATAGGTGTATGTATGTTTGTTAATGTGGGAATGTCTTTACGTATTAATAGGGGTGATTCCTTGCTTTGTATGTGGGCTTGCAACTAGACTATGTAATAATTAGCATCCGGCTTGGGTTTTGTTGAAGTGTAAATCTTGTGGGAGAAGCTGGTACTGTACATGTAGCAGACGGAAACCAGACTACCTTGAGTGTTTTCTCCAAATTCCACACTTTTATGATTGGGAAAGAGCTCACCAAGAATCCGAAATAGTGAGATTGGTGTGTAAAGGAAAATTTAATTCCAGAAATTTGGGACGTGTGGGAGGAAAACTGGGGAAGACTGTAAAAGAAGTGTAAGAAACGATTTGCATGGAAGCTTATTAAAAGGAGAAGCCAAGATCAAACTTAAGAATCATTAGGAGGAGTTATAAAATGGGAAACAATCAAGGAGGAATATTGAGGAAAAGTCCTCTGGGTTGTGTAACTGCCCACTGGAAAGATATTGTTGGGACC